TTCAGCAATAGCTTAGCTATTTGATATGATTAAGCTATTTGTACTATAAAAAAATACAAAGTTATTGAACTTCTTACAAAACAATCTATTAGTACTAACTCTCTTGCAAGAATTATAACACAATTTGATACCTATGATCAATGCTTTATATATCTCCAAATAGTTTATGTAGTAAAGGCTAAAACAACAAAACAGAAATTTAAATTGTATAAATATTATTTTATCCTTTTTTTTGTTTATTTTTTTTATTTTGATCTTGTGAAAATATATAATATTGTTAATGCTAAAAAATAACAGCAATCAATATTTTAATTTATCATAATACTTAACTACATAGAGGATGATGCATAAGAATAATTTAATTATATTATTACTCAAACTAGTAGCTTTCAATAATGATCTAACTAAGAGTATTCTCAAATATTTTTCCCAATATAATTAGCTAATAATCAAGATATTGTTCAAATTATTACGATTAATTGAATAGTTAATATGATTAATTAAAGAATAAATTATGAAAAATTCATTGTTCTAAAGCTATAATTTTAGCTCTGAAAAAAATTAGTGATTGTAGCTCAGATTTTTTTAACTAAGTAATAGTCATAATTAATTTTATCACCAATCAGATTATTTAGCAAATATATTGAGAGAGAAGTTTGAGAATAGCCTAAATATTGCTATATATAATAGCTGAATACCATTAAAATCATTAACTAATTTTATTGAATATGTTGCTTGAGAATATACTAATTAAACAATAGTTAGGATATCATTATAATTAAATTTTTTAAAGATTGATTCTATATATAAATTTATATATAAATTTGTACTGATTTTGATATATTTTTTATTTAATAGATATAGGATTGTATTGTGTTTTTTTTTATACTATAATAGAGCTATTTTTGCAATAATTTTTGTTAATTTTCTGTAAAATTAAAACTGGCTCTATTATATGTATAGCTAGTCTAAACTATTGTTTTAAAAAAATATACCTAAACTAGGTCAAATTTTATGTATATAAAATCAATCTTTAAAAAATCTAATCAATATTGAAGTGATATGTATATTCTATAGGATAATTTTCTTCTAATAGGTTAATCATTTACAATTGTATTTATATAGTTTAAAGTACTTTTTAAAAATAAAATATTTTACAAGTAAAAAATAAAAATTAAACTCATCTCTATTCTCAAAAAAGCACCAACAATTATTATACAAAATAATTTCAAATATTTCTTATTTTTTTGTGAATAAAAAAATAAAGTTAGAAAAATTAATCAAATTAGAAAATATTTGAATATTGTTATATCATGAACATTTTTTAATTTGGATAATCTTCCTAAAAATCAAGCAATTGTCTAATTACTATCATTGGTATCTTTATAAGTATTTAACTACTTTTCTAATATTATTTTTTAAGATAAGTTTTAGATAACTTTTTATATTTATTTTTTTAAGATTTTAAACTAGCTACAAATATAACTTATTATAACTAATATTTTTAGATATTTTTGAATTTAATAGTATTTCAATACCAAAAAGAAATAAACATACAAGACAATCACTAGAAGCTATTAGAAAATGTTGGAAGCAAGCAAAAAATTTTGATAAAGAATTAGAATTGGGACCAGTTAAAGAATTAAAATATAGAATAGTTAAAGAATTAGAGCCTAAGCCTATTGAGTATGAGGAAGTTATTAGTAAGATACGAATTAAAGATCCTAATAAGCTGTTAGATGCTAAATCTGATGAATATAATAAATGTTTTAGTACTTTTTAGATAAAAGATAAGAAAAATCATTTTGATAGTAAAGAAATTATAGATCAACTACAAGAGCTGCAACAAAATATACTAAAGCAATTAGTTGAAAATGCAAAGACAAATATATAGGCTAAAAGTTCATATTTACTAATATATAGAGGTGATGCAAAATTAACATTGCGCAACAAGAGAGTATATTAGAAAAATGTAGCTTCAGGTTCTAAAAAAATTACTGATATGTTTTTACTGAAGAATATTGAAGCTTTTAAGTCACTTGAGTCCTTGAGTCCCTTATGAAAAATTATAATTTTATATTTGACAATACATACAATAGTAGTGATAATGATGATAGTAAATTTATATTAGGATCTTTAAATTTATTGTTAAAAAATAAAAGTGATGACTTGTGGCTTAGAACAGTGAGTCAATATCTCTATCTGGTTTAGGATCAGAGATTTAGCAAGATAGATGTAATTATATTTCTTTCTCAAAGTTTAGACAAAGGATCATGACATGCATGGCTTATTCACTCTTGGGTAAACCAGTAGCTAAATAAAGATAAGATTGTTTTATTTAAATATAGTTGTCATGCAAAGATTAGATTTCTTCTTCTTTATAAAGATTTTAAATTACGAGTTACTAAATATTTGTATATATACAAATTTTTATTAAGGATTGCTGAATTTGTAAAGTTCATTGAGAATGAAATTATACTTGCTTTTGGAATAGAGGAAAAGACAACCATTTCACATACAACAGCACATGAATAGTGCATAGGCTTGGTTAGCAATATTTTAATAGTTATAAATATGAGAACATAGTAGCATATTGACATAAATTTTTGCAAAAATTTGCAGAATTACAAAAAAGAATAGCTATTTATGAAAGTAAAAATTTAAATCAGATTATTCTACCTTTACTTTACCTGAGATTGTCTCTATTACCCAAAATAAGTCATTATTGTATACCAAGGTTAGTGCTGTTAAGGCCTGGAGTCCAGAAGATGAAAGCCAACTTTGTCAAAAGTCACAAAGTCTTAGCATCAATATAAATAACTTTATTTGTAAATTTATTGGGTATCTTCAACTTTCAGAGAAGGAGTGTATTATTAATAATTCATTATCTAATAATAAATAGCTTGTATATACTGAAGCCTGTATTGTCATATATTCTAATATAAATTGTGATAGCTGGTGGACAATTAAAAATCTCATTAAGCAAATAAGTGAACGTACAATTTCAATATTTGAATAAACTTATCCAGGAAAAGTTGCTTTGTTTTTGTTTGATAATAGTTGCAACCACAATGTATTTGCTGATAATGCATTAGTAGTTACAAGAATAAATATGAAGGATGGTGATAAACAACTACTTTTCTGTAATGGTAAAAAATCTAATAGCTCAATATATATTATAATATTCACGAATATCGATAGTGTAGTAAAACCCAAAGTATTTGATAAGTTTTTTGTAAGTATAGATTGTGGATACTGGGCTTGATAAGAAAATATGATGTATATAAGCAAAATAATTCAGATTCAACTAATTTGAATTGTTGTACAATACATATCCTTTCTGTCTAGTCTGATTTTGCATTTTAAAAATCATATCAACAAAAGGTAAGTTGCTATATAATAAAGTAAAAAATTTTATGAAAATTTAGTTAATACTTTTTTTAGATCATTGAAATAGTAGACCATATGTGTATGTTTTACCTGAAGTTCTACTATGAACTTAATTATATTGAGTCATTCTGAGTAGTGTTACAAAATTTTGACAAAATTTTTCATACCTTGCATTTTCACTATGTAGTTTATTTATCTTTCTATATAAACATAGTAAATCATATAGTCTCAATAGTAATAGCATGTGTACAGGTTCGAAACCTGGGGTTAGGGTTTGAAACCTGGGATCTGGGTTCGAAACCCCAGATCCGGGTTTGAAATCTTTGAACATCGAAATGTATAAATATGGTGCTTGTCTAGTAAATAAAGTAACCTTTTTTCCTGACTCCTAACTCTTTCTTGCTTGGCTTCAATAACAAATAAAGCAGATACTTTATCTAACTCTTTCTTACTCTGCCCAAGTAATAAATACAGTAGATACGTGATTTAACTCGACCTGATAGTAACCTGTGGTAACCTAACTTGGACCTAAATGTAACTTGTGATGATCTAACTTGGACCTATACGTAACCCATGATGATCTAACTTGGATCTATACATAACCCATAGTGACTTAATTGGACCCTAAGTAACCTAAGCATAGCCCGTGATGACTACTTGCAGATAGTCTTATTGAAGCAGTAATACCTACCCCAATCGATAATTATTACTAAATACGAATCTGGATTGTGCTACTTACTATCAGGATTTATGCTTATGGTATTGAACTAAATTGGCTTGAATATATAAAAGCTCTCTCTAGTCGTAATATTTTGGTGCCGATTGTGTGAAAGAACAACAGAAGGTCTCGATAACCATTAGGATAAGAAGTTAATAATATTAATTACACATTGAAGTATGTGAATGAACATCGAATATGAGTAACCGTTGATAGTATCATATGAATGAATGTTGATAATATTATTTGAACAAGCGTTGATAATTTTTGTAAGCAAGTGTTGATAAGTATTGTATGTTAACGTAGATAGTACTGTGTGGACAAATGTTGATAGGATTGTATAGCAAACGTTGAATGAGGATAAAATGTTCAGTAATAAGTGTGAACGAATGTCGCAACAGTAAGTAGACGAATGTGTATACAGCAATAGTATGAACGAGTGTAGATACAAAAGTTGAAACGAATATTAGTATAATAGTGTAAACAACCCGTTAGTACAATAGTATAGGCGTAAATTCAAAAAAATGTGGAAAACAACCTTCTCCAAAATGAAATTCCGTTGAATAACCTGAACCACCAATTTCAACAATTGCTCCAAACCATGGTAGATACGTTGGCATGATCCAAGAAACCTTAGGTGAATCTCAGTGAAATAAATTTGATAAAAATCCCAACGTTTAGCAGAGGAAAACAAGACTCTATAGAATAGTTGGAGTCAATAAAATGAGCATTTGAAGCAAACAATATTGTGGGAACAAGATGGCTTGTAGTTGTGACTATCTATCTGATCAGTCCTGCTATGCTATGGTGGGAACGAAGAAAAAGTTGGATAATATACTGGAACAATGAAGCGATGCAAGACCGAAGTTTTGTATACCAATTCTGGCAAACTTTCTATACACCAGCTCTAATAAACCAGTGGACCGCAGACTTATTATCCCGACAACAACAAGTAGATGAGATAGTAGAACAGTACGCTATCAATATGGTGTCCTTGTTTAAATGTATATCGACTATAGGAATCTAGTACCCAGAAGTAACATGGGTTCGAATATTCATGCAAGGCCTCCATCCTGAATTATCATTAGCTGTTAGAACCTTTATGATGAATATGCTTAAAGAAGCTATTGAAAAAGTCTAAGCTTGTGAAATGTCTTTTGCCTAGAAGAGTGTTATATATAGTCCTGCTGCACCACATGATTCGATATTACATTCTACAACTTCGATGTTGCTACCATCACCCCGAACGATATATTCTGTAACTCAGCCTACACATTCTGTAGCCCAGCAACCTGTACCAGTCCAGCCCTGAACAATCCAATAGAGCAAGTTTTGGCTCTACTACAAAATGTAGTTACAATGGTAGGTAATAATAATGTTAATAATAGCTATCCTCATCCTACGTCAAATAAAGCATGGTATGAAAAGACATACCAAATATCTTTGTGCTTCATTGATCAACAAGTAGTACACATTGTTCACAAGTGTCCAAATAATAAACATATAAATGGTAATAGAGACAGTCCTCTAACTCAAGACCAAGGAAATATCACCATCGACAGAAATAGAATTGTAAAAGAAGCTCTGGTAGTACAAGCAATGATAGCCCAAACCCAAGAAACCTTAGAGTATTCAATGTTCAGTCGCTATCAAAAATTCGCTAACTTGGGTAATGATAATACAACATACAAGGTTGGATATTGTTATAAAAATAAAACTAGTCTTGAAAAAGATGAAGCATTTGGACAATGTTTAACTAATGCCGAAGATGACAATTTAAGAGGCAAAGAAGGTCTTGGACATCGTAATATTGAGACAAAAGTTAAGAGCAAAGAAATGTATAAGTATTGCTGTTATAGTAAAGATGGAAACTGGGTAAATGCTAATATAGCGAATCAAAAGGGTGACTATAAAACCTACAATTATGCTGATGAAGTTATTAATGATGCTAAAGCTGCCAGTAACATTAAAGATAAAGCATTTGAGCATTATTCGAGACTAGTTAACGCAGATAGAACTGATAGTATTAGTCTTGTAAAAGACAAAGTCCAAACGTTGGCTATACGTGATCAAGACTTGTCAAAATGTTATTTGAATCCTGATGAAAATGATGACTTGAAACTTGTTGAAGCCTAAAGCTCTGACGATCATAGGGACCTTGAGGATTGTATCCAGAATGAAACCAGTGATATGAAGCCTGATGAAAACATTGGTCTTGAACGTTGTAATAAAAATGGAATTAGGATGGAAAAGAGTAAATACAAAGTAGTTAAAGAAAGTATAGGAATCGATGAGAAAGAAAATTTGATAACAAACAATAGGTTTGATAATAGTGATGAAAGATCGGAAAGATATTTTGGAAAAGTGGTTCAACAAATTGAAGACAACAGGGAAAAAAGCATTAAGAGTAAGGAACAAAGTAACCCGAATGAGGAGCGTAAAGTAAATAAAGATGGAAAAAAGGATAAAAGTAATGAACCGAATGAGGTAGTTAGTACAAGCAGTGACAAACCTTCACAAACAAGCAAAAAGAGAGAAGAAAACTTACCCTTGTCTAGTAACCAACTGGCCAGAAGGATCGAATACACAAGTAAAATACCCAATAATGAGATCATTAAAAATAAGCATAAACCATTCAATGAATCTGGATTATATACAAATCAGTTTAACAATAGCAATACAGGGGAATAATATAATCCCGAATAGTGCTACCAAAATGATAAAAACTCAGATAAGAATAGCCAAAAGGTGCTTGAATGGAGTTGGAAGGCTAAAGAAGATCGAGATTGTGATGACAAAATAGTAATCTGGATTACTAATCTGATTAAGAGAAACTATTTTATGAATGAAGTGAAAGGTATCCCTATCTCTTGAACTGTAAAGAAATTTGGCTAGTATTTACGTAGGCCTTAACTCACCAAGGTAATCAACTGTTGTGCTCCAACGTTCTTGAATCTGACACGATGTGTATTTGATCCAGGAGGAAAGTCTAAACAAGTAATGGAAAAAAAAAAAATATATATATATATAT